GTGTTTCCGCCATTATTGACGGCAATGCCCTGTGACGTCAGTCACGAGCATGTCAGCACACACATGTGAGAACCCTGCACTGAAGTCCAGACTGAGGGCCGCTCGCCCGTGAGCACAGGGCAGACAGAACACAGAGGGGCATACCCTAAAGTAAAGGTGCAGAGAGGCAGAGGCAGGCAGGTCTCGGTGAGTTCAAGGCCAGCCTGGTTTACAAAGCAAGCTCCAGGAATAGCCAGAGCTGTTACACAGGGAAACTCTGTCTGAAAAACAAACAAAACAGCAACACCAAAAAAGATTCTGTGGCTGGGGAGATGGCTCAGAGGTTAAGAGCACTGGCTGCTCTTCCAAGCATCCTGAGTTCAATTCCCAGCAACCACACTGTGGCTCACAACCATTGTAATGAGAGCTGGTGCCCTCTTCTGGCATGTAGGCAGAACATTGTATACATAATAAATAAATAAAATAAAAAAGAGATTCTGTCTCAAAACCTAAGGTGGATGGTACCCTGAGGAACAATAACCAAGGTGTCTACACCTGCACACACACACACACACACACACACACACACAGGCAGACACATCACATCGCCTGACAGGCGAGGCTGAAGGAATTCCAAGTGGCCAGGTGTTGTGTTGTCTGCACTCACTTCCAGCCACAAACCCAGGCAGGTGCTGGGGGAAGACAGTCCACGGGGCACGGAAAGTACTGAGAAGATAGATCGGACCAGCATATATAAAGAGCCCCCTCAACTCAACAACAAAGCAGTCTGACTGCAGAATGGGCAAAGAGCCTGGTGTGGGAGCTCACACCTGCAGTCCCAGCACTGGTGGAGGCAGGGGACCCGGAGGTCAGGGACCTCTCAGCTACACAGTCTTATAACCAGACCCATGATCGCCACGGGGGAACCGTGCACCCACCTCCCACACACCCCACCACACACACCCCACACCCCCACTCCCACATACCCCAACCACCTCCCACACTTCCCACCACCCCACCACACACATACATACACCCCCACATGCCACCTAATAATGTCTGTGAGAAAGGCTCTTAGGCCATCAATTCGGTTCAGCTGGTAAAGGTGCATGCCACCAAGTCTGATGATCTGACTTCGACCTTTGTACCCAAACAGTAGATGAGGAGAACCAAATTACTTCAGCTTGTCCACTGACTTCCACACCTGTCACAGCATGGACACACACATACACACACACACACACACACACACACGCACACACACGCACGCACGCGCATGCATAAACATGGCAATTTCTTGGAAAAGAAAAGAAGGAAAAGCTCTTTGCAGATGTGGTGTGATGGCTTGGTGTGATCATCCCGGCTGCCCAGAGGCCTTAGATACCCTCGTTGACGGAGGGAGATCTGGGAGGAGGGTCACCAGACAGCAGAAGCAGAAGCTGGAGTGATTGACTGCAAGCCAAGGGTTGCTGGCCCTGCTGCAGCCGCGAGGAGCTGGGAGAAGACTGGGCCAGAAGCTTCTGGGAGCTTCAGAAGCAACCAGCCGGCGGCCCAGCACCTTCTGTGTCTGCTCCTACCCCAGGGCTAACCAGAGTCACACATCAGTCACCACCGCTAGGGCCTGCTGCAGGCTTCAGGCCAGCCCCCTGGATGAGACTTCCCCAGAGGTGGGACAGATAGCCGGAGACAGACGGCAGTGAGGGTTGAGACCCCCAGTTCCTGCCTGCAGAAGTCTACCCTGGTGTCCCATTATACAAACCAGGCCCCAGCCAGGGGCACATGTCCATTGCCAGGGTGGAGGGGACCTTCCAGAGCCCCATGTGTAGACCTATTCCTGGACAGTGCCTTCCATGGTCCCTGTCTGTGACTGCCCCGCTGGCCCAGCCATTGTCACCCTCCATGCTCTCCCATGGAAAGTTCCCCTTCTTAGAGAGTCCACCCCCCACCCCTCCCCACTGAAACACAAGCGCTTGGAACAAGATAAAACTGCTTAACTTCTAAAAGCCACAGAGCCAATCCAGAACAGCGAAGAAAGAAACCACGCCGACCCTTGGCTGGAGAAGCAGCATTCCGTGCTTCTGAGGCCGGTCCCTGTTCAGTGACTCAACACCAGCCCTGCGGAGGAGCCCGAGGCGTTTGCCTAGGGAAACCTCCTAGAGTTGAGGAGGACCCTGGGCCAGCATCACAAGGCTGGAGCAGGGAGGGAAGGAGAAGGAATGACAGGAAGAGCTAAGGATGCCAGCTCTGGCCCCAAAACCTCTTCTCTGAGGCTGGGCAGGCCCCATGGCCCCAACCAGGGCAAGACCACACCCTCTGCCACGCCTCCTGGACATCGAGGCTGGATACTCCTCAGCCACCAGCCCTTGAGGCACCAGCCAGCCTGGTCTCCATTCATCTAAGTGTATGAGTGTCCCCCTGGTCCACTACCTCCTGAAGTACTCGTGAGGATGGACACAGCTGACACTGAGACCGTCGATAGGCAGGGTCCATCGGGGAGCCGGCCAAAGAGGCTCACACCAAGAACTCAGAAGCACCCTGAAGCGGGAGGGGCTGAGCCCCACTCTGAAGATAAGGAAACTGAGGACAGACCTCAAAGGGATCTGCTCCAGGCCACCCAGCAGGGATAGGACGTGGTCTTTAACTTCCCCAGGGACTGGGGTCAGGGTTAGGGCTACAACTGACTCCAATGAATTAGCCTTAATTAGCCGGGGCTGAGGAGCCCAAGGGAGGAGCGGTGGGGATTTTCCTCTTTCCTGCTACTCTGGCTGTTTATTCACAGCTGAGCTTGTGGGGGAGAAAAGTTTTATAAAAGTATATTCAAATGGAGTGGGGTTTTTTTGTTTTGTTTTGCTTTTTCCCCTAAAGTGCCAGTCACACCTAGCTAGCATGGTGGCCCGTGCTAAAAGCAGGAAGATCATGAATTTGAGACCAGCCTGGGGCACACAGCAAGACTACACCTCAAAATGAAAAAAAAAAAAAAGATAAAGTGGCTGGGCGTATGGCAGTTGTAGAATTTGACTACAATGATGGAAGCCCTGGATTCCATTTACAGCCTCCCCAAAAAGGGAGGGAGGGAAGGACTGCCCTTCGGCCCTGGCCCACCCTAAGAGAAGGTCCCCTGGGGGTGTAGCTCATTGCTATAGTTGCCTGCCTGGTATGCGCAATGCCCTGGTCCCTTCCCCAGCCGTAGGCAAACGTGGAGTGACAGGTTTGTCATTCCAGCTCCCCAGCGCTAGAGGCAGGAGGATGGAGAGTTCAATACCATCCGGGGCTGCGCAGGGAATCTGAGGCCAGGTAACCTGCTTCTCAAAACAAACGAAAGGAGAAGCCCCCACCCCACCCCCGCTCTAGCCCAGTGCTGCCTTCCCTGTCCTCGGCTGAGGACACCAGTAATAGCTGGGTAGGGAAAGCCAGGATCCATGGCTCTCAAAGGCTGCTTTGTCCAGTGTATAAAAAGCTCTGGTCAGCCCGTGAGGCTCCAAGCTTTCACCCTTGGGTCTCCAGGGAGCCGCCTCCCCTTTAGGCAAGGCTCTCAAATACCCTGCCGCCATCACCCACCTGGGCTGTACCTCGTCATCCACGGAATGAAGGCTGGGGCCCAGGGGAGGTGTGGCTCAGGGGCTGAGGAAAAGCCGAGTGTTCGAGACGCCCTGAACCCGTAACCCAGCACAGCCATACAAAACAGGTGCAGGCCCCAGCCAGCCAGCCAGCCAGCCACTAAAACAACTGCCATTTACAGCTGGTGGCAGAGGAGGTGGCAGGGCCAGGCCGCCTCTGGGGGGCACACAGTACCACCTGTCCAGGCCTGAGAAGCAGCAGCTGGCATTCCCTGCCCTGCGGGCCGCCCCCCGCAAACTACGCACAGAAAACTTTGCCTCTATACCTATCGCCTCTAGCTGGCCATGATGCCAAGCCCAACCCAGGTTTGTTTCCCCTCCCGGGTCTTCTGATGTGCCTGTCAGGGTCACAGGACACACCACCATCAGCCGGGCACCAGGCGGCTGCCTCCTGGTGAATGCCTGGCCAGTTTTAATATCACATCAGAGATCACAGTATCGAGTATTGGGGTTGGTGGGGTCAGGCCGTCCCTCAGAGGAGCCCATGAGACGTGCCTTCCTTCTCTCTCTTAGAGACCCCTGTCCACGCACTCGGAAGCAACCAACAGCCAAGGGCCAACGGCACTTTTGGGTGGGGTTTAGTCTCACCATGACCACAGGACGCCATTCTAGAGTAAGGGTCACATCCCTAGAATTCCCCACCCACACTAACCCGCAGCCTGTGACTCAGATGGTGCCCAAGGCAGAGGAGGCAGTAATGACCTCAGACATTGACGGTCCCAGCAGGAACAGGCAGCTTACCCTGGGGACAAATTGACTGGGACCGAGAAGGAAAGGGACACCTTGTTCTCTCCCTTGAACCGCCTACACCCCTGCTGGGTCTCTCCTGGACCCAAGGGGGCTGCAGGAGGGCACGGCCACTTGTACACTCACAGGCATGCACTCGGGGCCCCGTGAACACACACACACACACACACACACACACGAGGGTGCACACGTGTGCATGCACCTCCTCCAAGCACTGGCCACCACCTCTATAATCAACTGCCCAAGAGGCCCCAGCAAGGCTATTTCAGGAGAAGACCAAGGCCAGATGATGGGCAAAGAAGCCAGGCCGCCTTGGCCCTGATGCAGAGCCCGTCCCCGCCATCCACCCTTCCTGAGTCTCTGAGTTCACAGTGGTCCCAGACGCGGATGGCAGCAGCGTACCGGAAAATGAAAGAGAAATAGCGCAGGAGGAGGAGAACCCAGTTTAAATAAAAGCCAGACTCGGCGGGGCTTAGTGGGAAGCGGGCATTCCAGCTCAGAGGACGTGGAACAGTCCGCAGAAAAAGGAAATAGTTCTGTAAAAGGAAGTGAACTTGACCCTGGATGCCCGCTCCCTGAGGCATCGGTGAAGCCACCAGTTGGACTCGGGTCGGGTTCGGGGATAGGGGATGTGGGGAGAGGAGGGCCGTGGCCTACCTGTGATTCGATCTCTCTCCATTCCTACGGATGTATTTACGGCAGGCAGGCTCGGGATGCGGTGTCCCCTGCGCGGAGGGGGTCCTCCTCCCCTTTCTCACCCTGTCACCCTCCCTCTCTCTGCCTCCTCCTCTTCCTCTAAAAACACTCTTTGTCTGGTCTAATTTCTTCAATCTGTTGCAATCACGAACAGATCCAAATTACCACATTTCCATGTGTTGGTCATATGTCTCTGCTCCGAACTGAAGTAGCATTGTCTCTGCCACACAGGGGGGAAACAGGGAGCACAAGGAGAGAAACTGAAAAATGGGGGGGGGGGGGCGATGGGATCCTACGGCGTCCCTGGGTCCTCTCTCCCTGAGCGCGGGACCAGCTGCCTGGCCTTCAGTGTGGTGGCCTCAGCCGGCCAGCGTGCGGCTTCCGGCAGCAGCACCTCCTCTCTCCGCCCCCTCCAGCCCCCGCCGCTGGAGTCTGGCTGTTCCCTTTAAATATCCACTTGGAGATGCCTAACTTAGGCTCTTGGAAACCAACCCGTAGAGTCAAATTCCTGGCCACTTCCAAAGTCTTTCATTTTCCTCCTGTCCAGTGTTGCTGTGATTTTCTTGGCTTTTAAACGTTTAAAAAGCCTACGTCCTGCGTTGTCTGCCTCACCTTACTGGGCAGGTCCAGATCCCAACCCCACCACAGGCAACCTATCTGGGCAGTAGTCACCTCCCAGACAGGAGGGCTGACAGAAGGCTCCAGATACCTGCCCAAGACAAACCCTGAAAAAGGTCCCCTTGTCCCTTTAGCCTGCCACTTCAGAGGGACAGGCTGCCCCCCCCAACCCCACGCTCCCTCCCAAGGGGCTGAGCTGGCTGGAGGCTTCCTGGAAGATTCCCACCCCATACATATGAGTCAGTAAGTCTCAGCGGTCCCTAGGGAGGGAACGCGTCCTCCGGCTGCAATTTCCCCAGACTCAGCGGCTCTCTGAGAACATGGCTGGCCCCAGGGCTCAGCTCTATTTCCTGGAGGACACCTGGTCCAGGGGCTGCTCACCTGGCAGGGTAGGAGGAGCCCTCAGCACCTGCTTAGAGCCCGGGCTGCTGCACTGATGGGCCCAGCAGTGCCAGTAGGAGGGCTTGGGGGAGGGGCCCCAGGCTGTGGGGCATCCTTGTACCAAAGGCCACTCAAACCTGGTGGAAAGCAGTGGGCGGGGAAGGCTTTGCTGTCCAGTGTCTACTTAAAGAAGACTAGTATCTGTGTCAGGGTCTCTGTGAAAACAGTGTCTCTCCATTGCATTGGTTTTTCGTTGGTATTTTGAGACAGGGACTGGAAATTTAAGTAAATCAGGCTGACCTTGAACTTGTGAACTTGTGGAGATCCTCGTGGTGGTTCTCATTAGGGCATGTGTCACCCTGCCTCACTTAGATTTTCAGTCTCTCTCTCTCTCTCTCTCTCTCTCTCTCTCTCTCTCTCTCTCTCTCTCTGGTTTTTTTGAGACAGGGTTTCTCTGCATGACAGTCCTGGCTGTCCTGGAACTTGCTTTGTAGACCAGGCTGGCACTGAACTCACTAAGATCTGCCTGTCTCTGCCTCCCAAGTCTGGGATTAAAGGTGTGTGTCACCACCGCTCGGCCTTAAAGTACATTTCCATCGTTTTGGTTTTATTCCACAGTGACTCTATGTAAGGATTGTAAGCCTTTGATGTTCTCTCTTGAAAAAGAGGGGGCACATGGCAAGCTTGAGAAAGCATTCATGCCTGGCCACTGGGTGCTCGCCAGCCCAAATGTCACAGCCTTCAGATAGGCCACACACTGTCCACTGGTCCCTTGGAGACTCTCCCTCACCGTCCCATAGCTAAAGCACCCCCAAGCCCAAGATGCCACTCTAGGCTCCTCCCCTCTCTGTCTGGGGCAAGACCCCAAATGCCCTTCCCTAGACAGTAAGACATCTTCTTGTGGGAATATACAGATCACCCCTAGCCTCCTGGGAGTCATCAAGCCAAATGTCCCCTCCAGGGAGCATGGAGGGGAGCCTCAAAGGGCAGCCGTCGCCGTGAGAGAGCTGGGAGCAGTGCCTCAGTGGAGAGAGACTTGGGGACTGGAAGAGTTGGCCAATGGTCCCCTGAGAATTCACATCCTAGAACCCATGACCTTGTTAGCAAGGGGACTTCAGGTGAGGACTTTGTCCTGGATCACTCGGGTGGCCCAAAAGGCAACAGCATATATGTCTCTAAGGGGGGCATTTGGGGCTGGGGATGTGGCTCAGTTGGAAGTTGCCTGTCTCAGAAACACAGAGCTCCCCTCCCAGCACCGCATAAGCCAGGTGCATTGGCGAACACCTGTAAACCCAGCACTGGGAAGGTGGAGGCAGGAGCATCAGGAGTTCAAGGTCATTTTGGGGAGACAGAAGTTTGGCCAGCCTGGGCTACGTGAGGGGGGACCAGCAAGATGGCTCCATGTGGGAAAGGTACTTGTCACCCACACCTGACCTCTGATCTCCATAATACTACTACATAGCACTCACATTCCCAGCACACAATAAATAAATGTAAAAAAAAATAATTTAACAAACTTTATAGAAAGAAGACTTCAGAGATGTTCTTTTTGTGCGGTAGGCAGTGATTAACACAGACACTCACAGCTGGTTCAATGAAGCCTAAGATGAGCTCAGTTGCAGATGTATATTTACATCCCAAGCCCTGCCCCCAGGGCTCAGGGACACGCCCCCAGGACTCATGGACACGCCCCCAGGATTCAGGGACCCACCCCCAGGGCTCATGGACCCACCCCCAAGACTCAGGGACCCACCTTCAGGGTTCAGGGACCCACCCCCAGGGCTCATGGACACGCCCCCAGGACTCAGGGTCCCACCCCCAGGGTTCAGGGACCCACTCCTAGGACTCATGGACACGCCCCCAGGATTCAGGGACCCACCCCCAGGGTTCAGGGACACGCCCCCAGGGCTCAGGGACCCTCACCCCCAGGGCTCATGGACACGCCCCCAGGGCTCAGGGACACGCCCCAGGGCTCAGGGACACGACCCCAGGGTTCAGGGACACGCCCCCAGGGTTCAGGGACCCCCACCCCTAGGACTCAGGGACACGCCCCCAGGGCTCATGGACACGCCCCCAGGGTTCAGGGACACGCCCCAGGGCTCAGGGACAGGGATGGGGGAGGGAAAAGTTGAGAAGAGCTGGAGGTGAGACAGGACGGGTCCTAAGAGTGTCTCAGACACAACAGCAGGACAACGCACCCAGGAACTTACGGCGGCTGTGGTTGCCTCCCCTTCTAGAGATCAAGCCAACATGGTCACGTGTTCAGTACGGAGGGGGCGGGCTTCATGAGCCTCTCACCCTGAACTGAGGAGCTGAGACAGCTGACTGGTGGAGAGTCGGTTTTTCTGTGTGCCAGCGGATGGTCCCACACGCCGAGGTAGGCGGGCAGCAGAGATTGGAGTTGGTGGGTTATTTAACAAGAGAGAGGGAACACGTTCATTTGGGAGGGTGGGAGGCGGGGGATGTGTCTAGGAGGAGCTAAGGGGAGGTGAATATGATCTACATATTATGAAACTCTCAATTAATAAAAATTTGGCCGGGTGATGGTGGCGCACGCCTTTAATCCCAGCACTCGGGAGGCAGAGGCAGGCAGGTCTCTGTGAGTTTGGTCTCAAAACACAGAAAGAAAGGGAGAGAGAGAATTGAGTTCTCCACCCCCACCAAGAGCCATTCATTTAGGAACCGCACGCCAGCATCTTCCTCTCGGTACTTGAGGACTCTCTTCCATAGCTTCCTGTCCAGCTGGTTCTTTCTTTTTTTAAAATGAGAGGAAGTTTGCCACACACTGGGAAGGAAGTGAAGACAGATCAAGGAAGTGAAGAAAACACCACCATGAGGTTGGAATGACGTGGCCAAAAGCCAAGGGACACTTGGAGTCCCACACAGGTGGCAGGGGCAGGCGAGGGACTCCCTGCAAGCCTTGGAAGGGAACAGCACTACACATCCTCAGTGATGCTAAGCACACGTGTGGTCCCAGGACTGTGAGAAACATTTGTATGGCTTTATCCCACCAGTTTGGGGTAACTTGCTTTGGCAGCTGGAGAACACAGGTAGGTGCCCTCCACAGACCAAACTGAGCACTTGAACCATTCTCTGAGCAGGACTGACCACGCCCTCTATAACAGTCAGACCCAGCCGGAGGAGGAAGTTCGTGGTGGGCGGGGCTTTCTTTATTTTCTTTTATTCTCTCCTCTCTTTCCCCAAGGAGGAAAGAATTTTTCGAAATAGGGTCCTAGATAGCCCAGGCTAGCCTCCAACATGTAGCGTGAAGCAGAGGGTGTCTCCGAACATCATGGGTTTTTTGGAGCTTTTCTGCTTGTTTAGATTTATTTAGTTTCTTTCTTGTTTTATGTTTCTGAGTGTTTTGTCTAGGAGTACATATGTGTGCCACGTGAGTGCTTTGTACCCAAGCAGGCCAGAAGGGGGTGTTGGGTCCCTGGAACTGGAGTTATAGATGGTTGTGAGCCACCGTGTGGGTGCCGGGAATTGAACCAGGGTCCTTTGCAAGAGCAACAAGTGCTCTTACCCACTGGGCCATGACTCCAGACCTGACTCTGACCCACTGAGCCTCCTGCTTCCACCTCCCAAGTGCTAAGATTACAAGTGTGCACCACCAGGCCTGGCTTTATTTACTCTCTTTCTTGACTTTGAAAGAAAAATATTCCTTGGTGGTTTTTCTGCTTGCAAAAGCAATGTCTGTTCATTCTATCACATTAAGTGAGTACAAAAAAAAAGTAACAAATCATTTCTTCTGCATGAGGCTCCACAGGCCTCACTCCTAGGACAACAGCAGAAAACCAGGACTTGAAAGGCTGTGTGTGCCCAGGCCAGGGCTGACGCCTCCTGCAGATGCCAGGCTGTCCGCACCCTGTAGTCTCTGTGACCCTCAGCTTTTGAGGACCCAGCTTGACTCGAGGTCTGTTTCCCTGCCATGCCTAAGAATCTAAGTGTGCCGGCCCAACAAAGGGAATAATTTGAAACAAAAAAACCTGGCAGTGCGGACGGCTCAGACGGAACCTGCATGAGTCACAGGCAGAGGCTTCAAAGAGAGAGGGTGAGAGGCAGGGCTAGCCCCGGCTACAAGAGTCACGAAAGCCATTGCCCACGGAAGCGCAGTTTTAACAGCTTTTCCCATGTGGACAAGGCTCACTCTTACTTACGGGGGGAGGCAGGACGCCCAGGACACAGTTCTGGAACATCAGGCTATGCCAGCCCAAAGCCCCAGCTCTCCCCGCCCCCTCCCCCCAGCCTGCCTACAGTCAGGTCAACACATCTCCAGCCCCTTCCAGTCCCCAGGTCAGCATCCCAGCCCTCACCAAGCACTGACCCACACCCATGACCCAGATGCCCTGGCCACACACCATGTTGTGATGTCACTCACAGGTTTACAACCCCTCCAAGCGGCAGATGGACTCACTGGACACAATCCCACTGGAAGAAAGCAACTGGGGGCTTAGGCGTTACTGCCTCTGTCAGGGAGCCTTCCAGGATTTTTTTCCTCTCCTCTGTCCTACCCCATAACCTGAGCTGACTCTCCCAGACAACTCTGGCCCCTGGAACTTTCTTGGTGTGGCTTCTCCTGAGTGGACCTTCGGGTCCCTGAATTAAAGTGCCTACTTCTATGAGGACAAAGGAGAAGGTACAGGTGACTTCAGAGAGCAACCAGGAACTGGGGCCAGGGATCACTAGGGTCTAACTGCATCTAACAGCATGCTCAGTTAAGATGCCAACATGAAGCCAGTCAGTGGTGGTGCACACCTTTACTCCCAGCACTCGGGAGGCAGAGGCAGGCGGATCTCTGTGAGTTCGAGACCAGCCTGGTCTACAACGCTACACAGAGAAACCCCACCTTGGAAAAAAAAAAAGATGCCAACATGCCATTGTGGCTGCTCAGACTCCTTCTGGGGGACACATGTCTGCACACCCTAGCACTGGGGGAGGGGGTGGAAAAAAGTGGCAGGTGTGGCCAGGCAGCCTGAGTGACTGACAGCGATCAGGAGACCCCAGGGAAAACTGGAAAGGAAGAAACCCCCCACATGACTGTGACCTAGGCGACAGGGCCCACGGAAAAGGGGTTATGAAGGGTCCTCAGGGCTAGTCCTGTGAGGAGGGATGAAGAGAGCCCCGCAGGAAGCATACTACACCTCTCTAGGCTTGCCTTGTCCCTTCCTTCAGGGCAGGGACCCAAGAGCACCCAAACCCAAGTTATAAGACCTCATAAATGGTCGCTTAAACAAATGGCATTTGGGGAACTGGCATGAACTTGTCTTCCGAGCACGAGGACCTGAGTTGGAGCCCCATCACCCATGTAGAAAGGCTGGGCCTACATAATGGTTCACACCTGATCCCAATGCTGGGCGGGCAGAGACAGGAGGGCCCTGGGGGGCTCACTGGCCAGTCTGGACTATTCCGTTAATCCAGAATGGTGAAAGATCCCGTCTCAAAAAAAAAAAAAAGTAGTGGGCACCTGATAAATGACAGCCAAGCTTGTCATGTGCCCTCCACATATACAAGCAGACATACGCATGCTTACACATGTCCATATACATGCCCATACGCGTACACACATGCACGCACATGCATGCCCTCGCACATACCCACACACATCACACACATGCTGCACACGGAAGCTCACGCACACAAAGTTTCCTGTGCCAAGTATGGTGAGACACCCTGTAATCTCAGCCCTTAGGAGGCAGAGGCAGGAGGATTACAGTAAGTCCTAGCCCAGCTTGGTCTGTATATAGTGAGTTTCTAGATCAGCCAGGGCTCCATAGCTAGGGTCTATGCAATAATAATAATAAATATAATACTTTAATTTCCAGCTGAGATCACTGAAGTCAAAGTCCCTGAGTCAGAAACAAAGGTGTCTTGGAGCTGGCCGGGCTACACTGCTACCCTACCTGCCAACAGAGTGGGCAGCCGGAAGAGGCCCCGGCTGGGCTGCTGCAGCATCCGTGGCAAGCTGCTTCCAGCCTGGGGCCGCAACATTCCTATCTAGAAGCTTCTCTCAGCTTTTTATCGTACCTCAAGAGCCGCCTTCCTAAGTAAATACTGGTCAGCTCTGTGCAGGGGTGGGGTGGGGTGGGGTAGGGTAGGGAGGGGCGGGGTGGTGGTGGGGCATCTGTGGCGGGGTTTACAGAGTATACCATGTGAACTTGCCACATTGGCATCCTTCCAGGAGCGGGACCAAGAGGGAGAAGCAGCCCAGATCCAAACGGCTCATGTTCCTCACCATAGGTCCTTCCTGCTCAGCCATCCGACTCCACCCCTGCCCCTCTCACCCCCCACCCCTGCTGTAGCCAGACTAGAGTGGGAACTGAAGGGGAGATGGGGTTGGAGGTGCAGCCCAAGAGGCTTTCCACTTCCCACAGGGAGCCCGCTTACTCAGTAGGCACCCCATAAATATTTGCTGGACAATGGATCCGAGAATGCAACACACAGCCAGTCCGAACCAGCGCCTCCCAAAAGAACTCTGCAAGGGTGCAGATGTGTTCCACCTGCCTTGCTTGGCGCAGGAGCCACGGGCGGCCAGGAATCCATCCTTGAGTATAGCACTCCCAAGGCTTCCCACTGCGCCAACTGACATTGTAACAGGAGGCACGGTGCCACTCACCTGTAGTCCCAGCACTCAGGAGGCGGAGGCGGGAGGATCTCGGGTTTGAAGGCGACCTGTACTACACAGCAAGGTCCTGCCCCAGACAAACCAAACAACCAAGTGAGCATTTGAGAAACCTAAGTCCACTGGGGGCTGGAGAGACCCGGGTTTGTTTCCCAGCCCCCACATTGTTACTCAGAGGCATCAATCACTCCAGTTTCAGGTGACCGACGCCCTCTCTGACCTCCAAGGACACTGCATGTACACATACATACAGCAGAGCTCATATACACACAACAATGTTTCTTTAAAACACTCACAGGCTGAACAGACGAGACGGCTCATCAGTTAACAGCATGTACTACTTGCCGGACATGGTGGCACGCACCTTTAATCCCAGCACTTGGGAGGCACAGGCAGGCAGATCTATGAGTCTGAGGCCAGTCTACAGAATGAGTTCTAGGACAGCCACAGCTCTGATACACAGAGAAACCCTGTCTCAGAAAACAAAAAAAGCACCCACTGCAGATTTGGATCCTGGCACACACCTCGGGTGACCCACGACCACCTGTAACTCCAGCTCAAGGGGATCTCACCTCCACAGGCACCTGCCCTCACATACTACCCCCCCACATAATTAAACATTTATCTAGATAGTCCTACATCCTAGTGGGCAGCAACTACCCAAACCCTCTCTTCTGCTCCTCCCAGAGTCTTGTGCCCCAGGAGACAAACAGTTACTTCTTGGCCAAAATAAAGAAGCATTTCCGTGTTAAGCTGGCTCTGTCGGCTAGTCCCACTTGCTTCGATCAAGTCCGATCCAACATCGACAGGACACATAGGACAGGTCCCACTTATCGGGAACCCACTAGGGACGGCAGCAGCTACACTTGGTTACAGACAAGCATTCGTGGAGCAAGGTGGCTTCCTTAAAGAGGGGTGTGTAAGCGGGCATGTAAGAGGTTGTGTTAGGGATCAGAGGGGGCCTGGGGCACCAGCCAGGGTGGGGCAGGGCAGAGCAGCTGGGGGGGGTGTCTTTCCCATCTTCTCACAACAGCCCCCCCCCCACTGTGTCCCAGGGAGGCCCTTCCACAGGAGGAGCATCTGCCCGGGACAGACAGAGGAAGGTGTCTGAGTGCCGTGTGACTCCATATTGGAGACGCACAAATGGGGAGCTTTGCACATCGGAACTCGCCTCCCCCACGGCTTTGAAGCCAGAAGTCCAAAATCAGTGCCAGCGAGCCATGCTTCCCAAAGGGCAGCAAGGGAGGGCTGTCCCTGGCCGTCCTTGGCTTATGGCCGTACGGCTCTCGTCCTCACCCCTGGGTTCACCTTCATGTGGCCTCCACTCCAGTCTTGAGGACGCCAGTCCTTGGACTTGGTAGCGCAGGATGACCTTATCTCAAAGCAATTAGCCCACGACTTCTGCAAAGGCACGCCATCTTCCAGATGAGTGGGTGGTGGGATTAGGGACAAAGCCACAGACCTCGGAGAAGTCAGAAACAGGCCTCAAACACATACACAAACACACACACACTCACACACATACACTCACACACACATACACTCACACACACATACACTCTCACACACACTCACTCACACACATACACTCACACTCACTCACACACACCCCAGATGTCACAACGGCACAGAAGGCTCCTGGGAAACCGGGGCTGAAGGTAGAGAAGCTCAGAGTCAGCCCAGGAAATGCTGTGTGAGCCGTGGGAACCAGGGCAAAGGTCCATGAAGACCGCGGTGTGCCCAGGCAGGCTGCTTGGAGCTTAGGAAGGGGACAAGAGTGGGAGAAGAGACCAGTGCTCAGGGGACTGTGGCAATGTCCAGAAGGACAGGGGTGGACACCTGTCCATCCTACCCTCCACCTACTGAAGCACGCAGAAGAGCCTGCCCAGCAGGGTTGTCGGCAGGGAAATGCTCCGTGGAAAGTCAGCAGGCCTAGGTGTAGACAAACTACGGCTCTCAGTAGGAATAGGCGAGCCAAAGCCAGGAGATGTCCACGGCCCAACCTAGCCCCTACTTGCCGTGAGATAAGCAATTATGCGATGCTGGCAGTATGCAGGGGGGTATGCACTGTTCAGAAGCAAAAGCACAGATATCCCAAACTCAGACTACACTCCAGTTCCTCAGTCACCCTGACAGAAGTAGGGTGAGGGGAAAGGCTCCCTGGGAGGCTTGGCTACCCCACGACATCTCATCGCTAGAGATGACGGGTGGGCAACTCTGTGTTTGGTCATCTTGTTTCTTATATAATTACCAATTGGGTTGTGTTGATTTGTTTTGTTGAGGTGGGGGTGGGGGGTCTCACGTAGCCCAGGCTATCCTTGAATCCACTAGGCAGATAAGGATGACCTCGAACTCCTGCTCCTCCAGTATCTTCCTCACAAATGCTGGGATAACAGACATGCACCACCACACTCAGCTGGGTTTGGGGTGTTTTTGAGACGGTCTCACATTGTAACCCAGGCTAGCCTGAAAACTCACTGTGTAGCCAGGCTAAGGCAATTAAAATTCTCCCTCTCAGCCTCCTAAGTTCAAGAATTATTGGGCTTGAACCACCATGACCCGTCTTTTTTTTTTTTTAATTAATGTGGAAATGTTGGGACTTTTGCCTAGTATGCACAAGGCCCTAGATTCAAGTCCTAGTACCACAAAAGCACAAATAAATGAATATGGGAAGTAAGAAAACTCAAAGCTTTATCGTGGGTGTCATCCGAGCTAGGAGGCTGTGGCTTGTGTCCTGAATGGTTACACCTGCCCAAACCTAAACAGCTCAGAAAGAACAGAAAACGGACCCCCCAGTCACGCACCCCATTTTGCCCCCAGAGAATCGGATAGAAAGTCCTGGACAAGAGGCCAGTTAGGGTGTGTGACCAAGGTTGGGAAGAGGACAAGGACAAAGAGCCCCCCCAGTGGGGACCTAGGGCCTGGCAGAGAACCCCCTCCCGGGGGTCATGGCAGCAGGGAGGCGGGTCTCAGGGACGACATGAGAAGAACAGTAATGGATGCCTCAGGGGAGCCGGCAGGGGCCCCGGGGAAGACTGTGTGTGTCAGCAGGCAACCCCCATGCAAACCTAGATCACTGCTTGCAGCCTCAGGCTCCTGCAAATTATGCCTTAGGCTTCCAAGCCGAGCAAGTCCAGGCTGCCAAATGCTGACGCCACAGAACTGGCTGGCCTGAGCCCGGGGAGGCAACAGCAGAAGGAGACCTCGTGCCCACAGCCCGAGGGTACCAGCTCTCCCAGACCTGAATCCCTAAATGCTGACTACCTCCAACCCTTTGGGTCAAGGCTGACAAACACTAAGGAGAAATAGAGAGAGAGAGAGAGAGAGAGAGAGAGAGAGAGAGAGAGAGAGAGAGAGAGAGAGAGAGAGAGAGAGAGAGAGAGAGAGTGTGTGCCACTGCAAAGCAAGAGGCCCTGAGTGCAAGGCATCGGGACACAGAACGGTGACGGGGCTGGCTAGCGGTTAGTGGGTCTCGTGGCTATGGGGGCGGGGTGCCTCTTAACCACAAGTGCTGAGTTGCTCAGCAGCCCAGCCACCTCCAACTGGGGCGTCGCCCTCCTCTCCCGACACCCAGGCTCATCACACATGGCACTCAGCGCGACACGGGCACACCACCCGCATCACACACATGCTAAACCCAGCACCATCCCTAGTGTCACCGTTTGCCCCTGCAAAGAGCCAGCTACCCTCAGTCAGGCCACACCCTGAAGATGGAGCTAGGAGGAGCAACACAGCCTTGGGAATGCCTAGAAGTCTGGAGCCTTGGGCAGCCCCGTTTTCATAGCTACGAATACGTATTCCAAATTCTCTAGCATTCCATTGGAAATAAATTCTGCGCAAACCAGTGAGCAATACAATACAATGTGAACATACCCTCCCCACAACCCAAAGCTAGATAGTCCAACCAGCAGAGTGTCCCTCTGGGTAGGAACTAGAGGACAGCGGGCAGCCTTGTCCCTGAAGGCTCCCTGCCTGGAAGGGGTCCTCCTGCAGGGTTGGGACTGGAGAGCTTGGCTCCTGCGATAGTTTGATGACAATTTGTCACTGTGGGTTTCCTTTGTTGCCTCATGGTAACGGCTGCCTCCCCTGTCCGCAGTGACTATCTATTCCACGCCCATGTATCTCTTCTGTTCATCCCAGTTGGCCCCCAACACATATGCATAGAGAGTACATGCCCCCCAAAAGGGTATCATTTGCTATAGAAGCAGGTCCCATCATCTCTGGCTACCAGCATCCTCCCCAAACAAAGGTCATTAGAAGAAATGCATATCCCTCAGTCCAGCCCTAGAAGGATCATCAGAGGTGACCAGAGGACCCTGGCAATGGAGAAGTTTGTAAGGGGGGTCTCAAGATGGCTGCCAGGAGAAGACACACGGCCCTGCCCAGGGCATCAAGGAAAGGGAGGCAGCCCCCCGCACTTGCACAGGTGGTTGGACAGAGCCCCTGCAAGCTTTGGAGCCGACACTCCTCCTCCTCAGGTGGCCCAGAGCCCTGACAAGGACATGTTTGCCTCCTCTACTCCAACGGTTATTGGGGGAAAGTTTGAACATGCGCAAGAAGCAGAAAGAGCAGCACGTGACACCCTCCTTCCCTGTACCAACGGCCCACTGATAGAGCTGTCCCCAGACAGTGAATGAGCCAGGATCAAAGACACTCTGCCACGGCTCACTCACTGCAAATAAGGCCACCCTGCCCTCCTGCTTCTCTATCCTGTGCCTGGGGGTGGCTACCACAGAGTTGGGCGAGCTCTAGCAGACCCGGCCCAAGCCTGGCTTCCTGCATCACAGAAAGGGGCTCCACCCACCCAGGAAAGCCAGGTGCGGAGCCTGGTCTCAAAACACAGCGAAGACAGGAGCTGCTTACCTGGGCCTGTGGAATCCGCAAGCCTCCGGAGGCGGCCGCTGGAGGTCCGTGTGACTCCTAAGGGCAGAAACAAAGGGAAAAGGTCACACAGGCCACCAGGCTCTACCTCCTGGTGGTGTGTCCCCACTTCTGCACCTGCCAAGGGTTGCAGAACCAAATAAACCCAGACAGGTAGCCACCTGTCCCTCAGAGTGATGACAGCCACCCACTCGGATGCCTCACACAACGGTCCCATTGTGCAGACCAGGGAGCTGAGCCTCAGGGAAACCTGCCTGGGGACTCACAGCAACCAGAAGCTGCACCCACAGTGAGAGTCCACGCCTGGGTCCATCTCAAGTATCCTCACAGGACAGACCGCTGATGGAGAGGGGCTAGCACTGAGCCGGGACCCACCACTTAAGACCCATACCTGGCCAGGTGGTGGTGGCACACCCCTTTAATCTTAACTCTTGGAAGGTAGAGGCAGGCGGGTCTGTGAGTTCAAGGTCAGCCTGGTCTACAGAGTGAGTTCCAGGATGTCCAGGACAGCCAGGGCTAAAAAGAAACCTTGTCTAAAAAAATAATAATAATAAGACTCACACCTGCTTAACGGGGTTTCCCTACACAAGGAGCACAAGCCCCACCCATCCTCCAAGGCTCCTATGCTGGGTAGAGCAGGCTGCACTGAGGGAAGGTGGGATGGAATGTTCTCTCTCTGCCCCAAGAGGAAGCACAAGCAGTATGGACTGGCTAAGCCTCCCGCCACCCTCTGCCTCCAACCACATGTGCCCCTTGGCTGGCACTCCCCTGTTGGAGAGGCTTGTGGTGGGCAAGTCCTAACTTGAGGACTCTGTGAGACCTAAGCTGAGCGCAAACCCATGGGCTGCCAAGAGGAGCAGACTCAGGAACC